CAGGGTATATATCTATCACTAGCCTATATAGCACTCCCATAGTGATAACTAGTGTAATCAAAAACTATCTTCCACAGTATCGCTAACACTGGTTCTAGATCTGTCTTGGTAGATCAGTAGGAGACTGGCAGGCCAATTAATTTTATAGGTCTAACCCAACGGAGCCAAATCAAGGATGATACCCCAATAATTGATTGTCCTGTACAACACACAGCATGAACAGACAGAATTAATATGCAATACAAGTTCTGTAAAACCTTGGTAGTGCAAGATAAGGAAGTTACAGATATGTTTTTCTGGTCAGGAAATTATGATCATTGATTTTCAGGAAAAACGCTAGTAACATTTGAATGTCATTGGCTGTTTGCAGAAGATTATCTGAACGGAATACAGTTTTGTAGCTTGTTACATCAGTGTCTGTGAAGTAAGATTACAAATATATATTTCACATTTGTTGAACAAATTATAATAACTTCTTGTTGGCACAATGGAAGCTCAGGAATGGTCATATTGTGGAAGGAAACTCTACCTGTGGTATCTGGTGAAAACCAGGGTGGTCAGGCTTGTGAATATCCATACCATGTTTTCCTATCCATTAAGATTGCAGTACCAAAACATCTTTGTATATTTAGTCACCTTATTGACATCAATTTCAGTTTTCAGAATTTCAATTTGCATTCCACTAATTATGCTGTCTTTGCTTTTCAAGTTAAGCTAATTTCCTCTTCACAACATCTTTTTGCTGGACATATGACAATAAGTACTGTTTAATGGGATATTTTCACCCCATGCTATTTTCACCCATATACCATTATACATGAATTTGCCCCATGTTCATTTCACTCTCTGAGAGTCATGTAACAAGGTTATATACATGGAACAATTTTTTACCTCCATCTTCAATCTGGCCTCCTTGTTTATGGACGAAAAAGTAGGCAAAAATCAAGAAATGGTTAAAAAGAAGGGAAAATACGTCCTGAGAGTATTTGCAAAAGAACGAGGATAGTACTGTAGAAATGACAAGCATTATAACTGAGAGTTAATTATAAGGTATTGTTTAGGTTATAGAAGAAATTTTGAGGAGATATAATGTATGATAAAAGCATTGCAGTGAGATTCTTTGGGCATCTCAATGCATTTTGTACATCCGTCTGTGTAAAGCAAAAATAAGGATTACATTTTAGTTTTGTTGATGAAGGAATCTTCGTTTCCTGGCAGTAATTGTTTTACTGAGGTAGCATTGATATGTTACAGTATTGTGTATAAAATTTGGTAAGAATTTTGTAAGAGTTTGTCACAAATAGCTGGCACTGTAAAACTTTGAAGGAAGAAACCAATGTAAGCACCTATGTCAAATGAAATCAGTGTTCCACTTAGTGCTAATGGATGGTGTAGTTGCTGCGGTCTGTATTTGATTTGTAGTTATTTGTGCTGTACATCTGGCTTTTGTTACCTTTTCTTTCACTTGTATTTTTAGAATTTATGTTTCCCTACTAAATAAAAAAGACCCTAGCATCACTTTCACACTACATCACAACGAGTTTAATTGGTCAATTTGAATTCTCTTTGATGAAAACTTTCCACGGTCACAGTACCATACATCATTTCTATAATATTTATTTATCTGAAGATAGAAGATTATGGTTATTTCAAGATTTAAAATTACGCCTCTCACTCAGATTTGATTAATATCATAAATTGAGTCTTTTGAAGTTTCCAAATCTAAAATATGAAAACTACTTGATAAAAAGTTTGTAGGTAATCAGATTTAGTTTTGATTGGATGACCTATTTGAAATACACACTAAGTACCTATATATTATGTAAAGTCAGGTTTTGTACCTGATCCATGCCCAATTAATCCACACAGGGCACTCTTGATATTTTTAACTTCTAGATGGTGTACATTTTTGTGCCAGTTGAAGTATGAAGAGCTATTCTGAGGTCAAGTGTATAAGGAACTTTGCACTCTATGTTGAGATCAGATATATAGGTCACGCTTAATTGATAGGGTTACCTTAAGGACTGTTAAATGCTTGTTAATGTGTTGTAATATATCATTAAATTTTTTTACATGAATTCAAGGATTTTAAGTCAATTATGAACTCTATTGTATTTGTATGTTCAGAGTTTTTAGTCTTTACGGAAGACAGAGAAATAAATGTATGTGAGGTGATGACATAAGCAAACAGAAGAATAAACCTTACCTGTATAAGGCTAGGACATTGCCACTGTGGTACAGTAAAGGCTATTATATTTCAGTGAAAAAACAGGTCACACCCAATACAGGAGATCAAAGCAGAGGTTGTGGGATTTTATTACTCTTTCATACTCTACTGCACAGTTTTCTACCAAGGTGCAAAAGAGATTGTAAATTACAAAGTCTTAAGGAAAAACCAATATAAAATGATCTGTGATTTCAATATAACCTAGGTAGGGGGTTTAATGCACCTCAAGGTTCACAAACTTTTACATGAACTTATAACTTAGGTAAACATCTAAAGTGTTGAGCTTACTAATTTCAAACTGTTTAGTTTGATTTAGGATAGCGATGAATAGCAGTCAAGTAAATTGTGGATTTTCTGGCATATCTTCTTTGTAATTAATTTAACACTTAAGCAAATATCTAAACCAAGTTGTACTTCAAATGTGAACATTTCTTTTATGGAATAAATGAATGATCAGTTATATTAGCTATTAGCAGCCAATATAGTGACTTTATTGAGATTACCTTTAGATATTTGATGTTTAATCAAATTACTTGTAGATTTGAAAAAATAAATTAAGAAAAAACAAAAACAAAACAACAGAAAGTAGAGATAATTGAATAAATAAACTGATATTCATAAGTTTTTGTTGTTAATTTATTCTTCAATACTTTCAAAAAAGTGTTCATATTTCTTGCTAATAACGAGAAGAAAAAAGGAAAACTGGATGTAAAAGACATTTGCATAATTTTGAATGGTCAGACAATTAGCACCTGCTAGACAAATTCCAACAATATTCCAATGTCTTTGTTAAGTTTGGGGTTTCGCATGCTGAACTTGCCAAGATGTAGTATGATTAATGTTAAAAGGAGAACAGAAAATTGTATAGGCTGAGTACCACAAGTTCTGTCAGTCTATTGTCAACTTTGGAATTTTTTGTCAGAAGTAGTATTGACTGTCTAAAATTGAAGATATTTTGTAAGTAGTTGAGTCTCCTGTAACTTAATTTTGTTTCAGTAAATTTTTGACTTTAATATGAAAATATAATGGGTACTTAATTTACAGGCTTTGATCCTTAACAAATCTTACTGATCCATAAACTAATTGATCAAAGCCAATATAATATTTGACCCATAGAGTTTATCATGCATAGTCTAGTTACCAAGGTTCCTGAGAAAATAACCTGGCTTTTATTGCAAAGTTTTATGTTGTATGTATTGTGGTTTTCTTATTAACAAACTCCAGATTATGTTGAACTTAGTGTATATACCATGTAAGTGCTAAAATTGATAACGACTGGGTAAACATATAAAAAAAGTAGGTCACCTTTTAAAGCTTGACACTTCAATTTCTTGTTAAGTAGCATAGAAAATTGCTGTAAAATTCATAGGATTAACTGGTGCATTGTGTCAGATGGATTTTATGGGAGATATAATTATTTTCTTATATTTTTGAAAAGATGGTCACACATTTGATTTATGATATACTCCCCATAAAAATTAAATCGATTGAAACTGAAAAATTTACAGGTTGTGTTACATTCCAGCATGTTATAAGGTGTTAGGATGAATCTGTCAAGTATATCCCTAGGATAATGATATTGGATGGCTTAGTAACAGGCACTGGCTCAACCACATATAATTCAGTTTAAACTAAGGTAGTAAACTGTACAGGTAGGAATTCACCCAGGTACGCTGTTCTGTTCAAATAAAAGGTCAGAATATATAAACTTGAAGAAAGACGATCCAAACACACATACAAATCAATATATACATTGTAACAACATTCCAGATTTAATGCTTTATACATAAGATATATTCTCAGTACAGTGAAAGTTTTGATATTTTTTGACAACCATACTGCACTGTCAATTTTGTATGCTTTCAATAGTTCAATAGTTATCATACATATTTCACAGAATATCACATATGTTAGATAATACTCCATAGAGTATTTGAGGTAATTACAAGAAGGATAATTCTATGTGATTGTGTGTTATGAATGAGAACGCCAGCTCATAATCTGGCATGGTTTGACATCATATAAGCAACAATTCTTTCATTCAAAATAAATTTCTTTAATAAGTGTCTTCCACAACTTAACTCATCAAACTAATATTAAATCTCTTATTTGATTTGAAGTATGTATGTATATATATAGGTTGAAGATTAGAATTTGTAATACTTTGATCTGGTTCATCAACTGATTATTATCAACGCCAACTAAACTTTGGAAATTTACAATTTCATTAGCAGATTCCCCAAAGAGGCCCAGATTATTTTTATGACTGGACAATCAATTTGGACATGAAATTAACCTCTAAAGATACAGCAACATTTCCATGTAGTATCAAAGCGATGAAGTCTAATTTTGATTGAGCTAAAACTTTTCAAAATTCATCTAGATTTAGCATCTTTAAACACAAGCATGACTATGGTGTTTGGGTAGACATTAGCGAAAATAACTAAACTCATGAAGTCAAAAGCTTGATTGGGACACACTGAGCTCTAGCTACATTCATGTTAACTTAAAGAGACATTAACTGCGGATTGACTCAAGGTAGCATAGAGTCTGACTTTATGATAATTTGAGTTGTATCAGAATTGTCAATTTAAATTCTTATCTTAAATTGCTGCAAGGATGTAATGTATATGAAGCAGTTGCTTCAGAACAATGTCAGTCATAAAGATTAAATACTGTGTTTTGATAAAGCAGCAATTGCAGAGTTTTCTTTTGATGTTATCTTAAAAGATAGAAAGCGAAGTATGATATTCTGTTTCTCATTTAATTTCAGTGGTCAGTTTGCAATCGTAAGAAAAGCAAGACACAAGGAAACTGAGGTAGAATATGCCGCCAAGTTCATCAGGAAGAAACGTGGTGGCGGAAGGAGAGGTGCCAAGATGGAGGACATCCAGAGAGAAGTCAACATCCTGAGCATGATCGACCATCCCAACATCATCCACCTCTTAGAAGTGTACGAAACTCGCACGGAGGTTATCCTTGTCCTTGAGCTGTAAGTCATTATGAAAATCATCATTGATATTCTCATTGTCATCTATCCTTGCAAGTCTAGGGATAGGCCTGCTGTATACCAGAATGAATGGAATTTGACAGGGGAAAACAATTAAGGAAATATTTTATTGAATACATTTCAACATCATCCAATGTCATTGACATAATCCAAAATTTCGCATTTTAAATAAGGTATCGTAGTTCGTGTGTTGGTAATAAACAAAAGATTCCTACAGTTTATCTCTTCAGAGCTATGTAACCTTCATTCTGATATTATATTGATAACATCCTGATATAATGTTGAGCCTCAAATGAATGTTTACTTATTTGCATTCATATGGACATAAATATTAAAAAGGTTTCGATTCAGTCTGTAAGGCTACTAAAACATCATCTACCTGGTTAATGCATTAGACAGGACGACAGTCCAGATTAAGCTGTGCCTGCTGCATTAACAGTACCGTGAATGCAATTTATTGTGGTAGAACTTAGAGAAGGCTTTGCAGCAGTAAAGTAAACAATCCATCTGTCAGTATTTGTAAAATGTAGAATCATCTTCTACTTCTCTTAGGTTAAATACACAAAAGAAATTATGAAATATGTTTGACCTATTCTTCCTTGCATTTCTTCCTAATTCCTGTAGTGACCTTATTAGATCTTATGAGGACCTGAAACCTTGAACAAAATGAAAGTGCATGGTCATCAATAAGACATAATAGATGACTGAAATTTTACATAAATCATAGATTGATTGTTGTTGGAATGAAAATGAAAGAAAAAAAGAAAAACAATCTTGCTAAAGGAATTATTTATTTTAGCATGTGGCTGCTATTTGCTGAAGATATGCATACTACACATTCTTACCTTCCCGCACCAGTGTTAGTGGTAATCCATTTTCACACTAAGTGGTCTGTGTAGGTCAATAGGTAATCACTGCACCAATCCTCATCAATGCTGACAAGAGTAACAACCAGGGAGGAAGTAGCCCTGCCTACATACCACACATTTATCACATTCTCAATCCAGGGAGGGACAGGTACTGGTCAAGAATCTTAGTTATTGTGAAGGAACTGGTGATATCTTAGACATGTGTAATTACCAAAATACAGGTAGCCATACACTGGTGTAGTAAATGTCCTCAAACTTCCAAGACAGTATTTCAGATAATGTAGCAGATGTTCCTAAATGACAGAACAGGTCTTCAGAATTCAAGTTGGTGTATCAATAGAGTTATATATAGGTAGTCAAATTCAAGATTGTACTTTGAATGATGTTGTAAATTTTTCAAAATAAAAGAGAAAACCATACATCAATCTTAATGTCCTGAAAACTCAAGGTGGTATATCAAAAGATCTAGAAAATGTCCCAAAATAGAAGTGATAGGTAGCCATATACTGGTAGTAAATGTCAACCTTCAGAATGGTCTAAGCCGTTAAAATAATTTGTAATTGTTCCAGTGTGGTATGGTACTTTAAATAATGAAGTAAATGTTCCTAAATAACAGTAACAAAAAAACTAATCCATAAAAAATAAGTCTTCCCAAATTTTGAGTATATAAGAAAGTGTCGCCTTATTTCCTACAATGTTGGGACTACCTCTGGGGATTCAAATTTTGTTCATGGTAAATGCCATTCTTCTTGGCTGATGGATATTACCAGGGATTGCAGCTGCTGCTAACTGTGCTGGAGTCCTGGGCCTGTTTCATGAATTGGAAACTCAGTCAGAGGCTCTCTGACAGTTATGGCAGAAAAGTTTTATGTTCTTTGTTTTTTTTTTTTTTTTTTGTTTGTTTGTTTGTTTGTTTGTTTTTTTTTCATTTTTTTTAACTGATTGTTTATTTTGTGTTTTAGCTTGCTTGTCCTGTTGGCATTTCTTCCAGAATATATATGAGGTGTTTTTGTAACCACTTGTTTTTTCTTTTCTAAATAAGACTAGAGAAACATTGTTAAACTACAATGATTGAAATTGTTATTTGGGTTGGACACTCCACCCTAGCAGTTTTCTGTGGTACTATTATGTGCATTTGTGATCATTTTAAAGATGATAAAAACTTTTCTAAATTCATCATGTTATCATTTATGAGGTCAAAGTTACCTGAAATTTAAAGATATATGACTGTTTCGTAACACAGAAAAAGTGTTTCTGAAATAAAAAGTGTAGCATATACAGTAGATAGATGATCTGGCATGTCCTGGTTACAGCGATAACGGCTATGGCTGACTAACAGGGAGCTGACAGGATAGAATTGATATTCAATTTCCTCTGGCTGTTATTATCTGTAAAACCATATACAATATATTTTTCCTCTCCTGTACACGTTCCTGTGATCCAGCTGTACATTCACAGGAGTACATTTTACATTAGGACTTTTATGACTTTTACACCAAGATAGACTTAATATATCAGAGATATGTAGTGGATTACATGGTATAAACCTTATCATTTTTATCCTTTAGTCATGATGAAACTCTGCACTACATATTTCCCAGACATGTAATTTTAATTTGCAGAAATCTGAAGTCTTTCAGAGATGATCTTCCGATTTACAAGGTTTGACCGTATCAGTTTCAAGATAAGCACTGTTTATCTACATGAAGAGAGCATGTCTGTCATTAAAGCAATGTGCAAAAACAATTTGAGGCTTCAATGAAATAACGATAAAATGATGATGACTCACAAGCTTTCATTTTTTATTTCTAGAGGAAATTCTGAGTTTTATAAGTTCTGTTTTCCTGATTAAAGTTAATACACTGACAGTATATGTAGGTTACATGGCTGACTCATGGGACTTATCGCTTTCCTTAATAAATACATTTTGTCTGATTTCATGGAATAATGGGGTTTGGTTAGAATGATTATGTACCAAGTGACAGCATGGGGCCAGTAATGGAGCATGGCAACATGCTGTCATGCTTCAGTTTTATCCAAATTTCCTCATTCTGATTATTTTCGTTATGAATATAAAGAGATTTTTGTATCTCATTCCTGGAACCTGTCTGTTACACAATGGTCATATACCAGTAATAAATTTCACAAAAGAAGTTTAAGAATGTAGATTTAGGGATTTAGAGGGGTTGTATATGGGGCAGGGATTGGGAATTTGGAGCATTCACATTGAGTTCATTGATAACAACTGTTAAAATTGATACTTAATTAATACCTGGAACCAACTACAGTTGTCCCAGCATGAAGAAAGGTTTAGTGATGATGGCAGACAATATTTTTTGTTATCATAATACAGGGGTGTGTGGCTATAGTGTGCTTGAGGTCTGGGAAATGATTGGGAGAGGGAAAGCATATAGTAATCTGGTCAGTTTCTCTTGAAAGCAAAAGCTCATGTACAAGGTTAGAGGATGAAGAGATGGGGATATATCTTTGTTAGCCTCTGTTGACATTGTTTGCATTCCAGTTTCAGTTTTCATAAGGTCTTTTAGGTACATTTGATCGTGTATTTATAGTCCAATCACCATCCCCCTCCCTTGTCATCTGTCTTCAGTTTTCCTTTCTTTATCTCTCATACACAGAAAACTTTTTGTATCTTTCTCTGTCTTACCAGTCTATTTCTGCCATTTTACTTAAATCTAGAATTTCTTAAAATCCAAATTATCAAAAGACTGTATATAGTGGTCATCTACATAATATGGATGGGGCTTGATGATATGGGTGGGGCTTCATGATATGGATGGGGCTTGTCTTAGATGGACACCATGAGGTGGTCACATTTCCACTCCTCATTGGAAGTTCCTAGGCTCAGATCAGTCCCATCAATTATCTTAATGATGCACATCTCCCTTTCTCTATTCATTACATCCAAGGTTGCTTCATATCTTTCCATTCTAAACCTATATTACATCTCACAATAGCACATTGTCCTACACACTCTGTAATTCTGTCTCTTTCATGTGACATCATTTTATTACTTTCTTTCATTCATTTATAACATATTCTAATTTCATACTGTCAAAGAGGTATTTGACAAATAAAAGTACACATGATACAGCTAGTGCTGAATCAATATATATTGTTCCATATTATTTGTCTAATAGTGTCACGGTATGTTTATCAGCTTTGAAGAACATCATAAGTTATCACGATCCCACTATATTCAATAACTGTTTGTGTCCATTATATATTGATATATCTGCAATGTATTAAAGTGCAATAAAGTTACCTCCCTTGTTTCAGAATCTCCGTGAATAGTAATGTTAGGAGTAACAATAATGCCAACCTCTCTTGGATTGTCTGGTATTTGCAACACCTACCAACTGTATTTCTTTTATGAATATGGAGAGACTACACTATGTTATGGTAAAGGTCTATAAATCATGATAGACTTTTATATGGAAAAACATATTCAGTAATCAAGTCTGTATTCAATACAAAATTTACCAGAATACAGACTTTGACCTGTTCACTCATTTTTTATGCTAATGGAACAATACCAGTAATAACTTCACAAAAGAAGATTTATTAACTAATGGAATCAACAAAGAGTAACTTATTAATACAGTTGCTTATTTCTTCGTTTGTATAAGAAGTGCCTGTATACATGTTTTAGACCCTTTAAGACATATAGAAAACCTTTAAGTAACTATTTGAGTCATTGTGAAGGCATTTAAGCAAGATCTTGACATTTGCAGTTGTTAATTCTTCTGCTGATAATTTTCTTATCTGTAAATTAGGAGAGAACTTTTGAATCAAAATGATTTTACCATAAGTCGAGGATACCTACTGTAAAATATGGATATGAGAATTGCAGGAAGCAATATAGTGTTGGTCTCGCCATAGGGGTTTGACAGGTGAAGGTCCCAGAACACAAATAGCTGGCTGTCACTCCCTGTGGTATTCTTACAATGAAGACAAGTACAACCAAACAATACAAAGATTTACTACAATTCTGCATGTGACTGAATTATAAGAGGTCCAGTATGTCATCAGACGTAGATGGTGGGGATTCCTCAACCAGATGTGATATTGTGTAGTGGTAACATGTAGGAATGG